TTACACAATTGATGTGTGTATGGATTGGGATAACAGTTGTATGAGCCCCTAATAAAATGTTAAAAAATAAAAATAAAAAAATAAAGCTCTCTCTTACACACATATGAGGGTCTCTGGATTTGTCTGCTCCAGTCAGCCCGGCCTAACACCCCTAATATTGGCAGAGAAGGGGAGGAGAAGTCCGAGGATGCGCGTGTGGTATCCAGAAATTCTGATCCGTTTATTTTTGTCTTTCAATGCAGAGTGGACGCAGATCGCCACCAGGTATCTGCGAGAACAGTTGGCCAAGATCTCCGACTTCTACCACGGGGCCTCCAGCTCGGGCGACGCCCCCACCCCTGTGCCTCCGGAGGTGGAACAGGCAATGAAACAGTGGGACTACAATGAGAAACTGGCCTTTCACATGTTCCAGGCAAGCTTCCCCCGAGCACAAGCACAAGCACACGGCCCGGCAGAAGGCTTTTAAGCAGAGAGCAAAACCCCTTTAGTCCAGTTTTCTGGGGATTACACTGAATCCCTACAAAGGCAACAGTCTGACATTGCTCACCTTGACTTGCATTCAGGGAGGGACGTTTGAGCCAGGATAACAGCTGCTTTAGCGGGCACATCCTGACTGACAGTTTTCAGTGGTGTCAGCTCTCTGAAAGCTGTTAATGACTTTGTAATTGCTCTATTAAGTACCATCCTTGTAAGCCTTTTGTGTTTGCAAAACTGGACCTATGCATCCAAAAGCATCCTCTATGGATGCCTCCTGCCTCTTAGCCAGTCACATCCAGGGCAGCGTGGTCCCCAAAGAAAGGTCGTCTTCGTTTGGTTCAGCTGCAGATTTAAATGCACACAGACGGGGGAAGGAGTCGGAGCCTTTGACCGCAGCAGAGGGGGTACTGAGCTCTCAGTGGCTTTGTGGGAGAAAGAGGGGACTTTTTACGCCTATAAAAAGTTACAGTTTAAACAAGGGGCCATCCAGCTCAGACGCAACAAAGCCCACATGGAAGAAGCACACCTATCTGTGTGGTCACGAGGTGTTGAAGGGATCAGGTATCAGGCATCAAAGAACAAAAAATCCTATCAGGTGAATGAGGGGGGAGTGTGGAGTGGGGACCCAAAGCCCATCTGTAGGCAACTGGACATCTCCTTATGGAAGGGTGGTGGGGAGGAGACGCCAGTCAGGGTGCAGTGTAGCAACTATGAAACATACAACTTTCCTCTAGTTCTTAAATGCTTCCTCCTCCCCACTATCATGATCCCAATTCTACCTTACAAATCTGGCTAGATCAGAGGATGTCCACTAGTACAGATAGGAACTGGAAACACAGGGAATCCAGGGCGGATGATCCCTTCAGGACCAGTGGTGAGAGTGGCGATAACGGGAGGGTGGAGGGAGGGTGGGTTGGAAAGGGGGAACCCATTACAAGGATCTACATATAACCTTCTTCCTGGGGGATGGACAACAGAAAAGTGGGTGAAGGGAGACATCGGACAGTGTAAGATATGGCAAATTAATACTTTATAAATTATCAAGGGTTCATGAGGGAGGGGAGAGCGGGGAGGGAGGAGAAAAATGAGGAACTGATATTAAGGGCTCAAGTAGAGAGCAAATGTTTTGAGAATGATGATGGCAATGAATGTACAAATATGCTTTGCACAATTGATGTATGCATGGATTGTGATGAGTTGTATGAGCCCCCAATAAAATGATTTAAAACAAAACAAAACAAAAGATACAGTCTTAGAAATCCACTGGGCAGTTTCTACCCAGTCCTGACAGGGGTGGCCGAGTCTGAGTCCATACCAGGGTAGCGAATGAGCCTCTAAACAGACTGGTGCAAGTCATCCAGTGACCAGCAGAGGGCGCCTCGTGCTCACGTTTGCCTCCCTCAGGTGAAAGGAGGGTGGATTCAATTCTAGTGGAATGACTAGCATCAACTTGCAGTCCCTGCTACCTTGATCAAAGAGGAAGTGGGTAGAATGGTTGTGTAGTTTAAAACTCTTCCCTGTAGAGCCTTAAATGATAGGGTTTTTGGTTTGTTTGTTTGGTTTTGTTTTTTAAGGAGCTCCAATTAGGAAAAAGCATGACCCTTTTGGAAGTAGCATCCTTAGGTTTTAGGTCGATAAAAAGAACTCTTAATCCTAGTTCCCTTCAGCAGAGGATGGCTTTAGGTCTGTGTTCTTTTCTGACTTATGAGATTTCAATCTGTCTCTTTGAAAAAATGTCTCTTACTTTGTACCAGCATGCATAATACTTTTTGAAGCATTGATTTATATTCATTGGTACGAATATCAAAACCCGTCTCCCTTGGATAGTTAAGAGATAGGTTCTGAGGTTTTAAAATTACCTGGGAGATTTCCAAGGAGATTTGTTGGAAATACGGAACTGCAGAGACATGGGTGTGGTGATGTCAACAGATGAATCTTCGTGGTGAGCTGGTAGGAAAGTGTCATTGGGAATCATGCTTATCCAGGCTTTCTAATCTTTGAGTCACAAGAAACCAAAAAATACCCCAAACTCACTACCAAGTTGATGCCGACTCTCAGTGACCCTGAAGTGGGTCCCCGAGAGGTAACTCTTCACAGGAGTAGAGAGCTCCATCTTTCTCTCTCGCAGCGACGGGTGGTTTCCAACTGTTCACCTTGTGGCTCATAGCCCAGCATGTAACCATCACACCACCAGGGCTCCTCAAGAGTGAGTCGTGCATAACTGTAATAGGGCATCGGCTAGTTGTGCACATAGAGTGTCATAGAAGAGTCTTTGTCTGTTTGTATATAGGAGTTTGAAGGCAAGAGACCAAAACAAATTTTTTTTTTTAGTGCTTATGTCAAGACTGGTGCTCTCATCAAGTGTCCGAGCATCCTACGGGACAATTTGAAACCGTGTGTGTGTGTATGTGTGTGTGTCCTGTCTTCTTGTTAGTCATATTGGAATATTTGCACATTATTATAAATTTTTCTCTTTGATGCTGTAGCGGTGGCACTGTGTGAAGTTTCAAAGGCTCATCGTATAGGTAGTATAGAGATTCTGGAATTCACTGTAGGGGGTGGAGCAGGCTGTAGATACAAGGGGGCACTGGGCTTAATGAGGTTTTAAAACCTTTGTTGAGAAGAAGATGGGTTGGGTGCTTTCGTTCTTTAGAATGATCACTCTCAGCCAAGTTCCTTCCCGTGAGCTTGAACTTGAAGCCCTCTGAAACCTGTCCAAGGCTCGCCGGGCTCTGGGAGGGGAGGCTTCGGCTTAGGAATTTCCTTTTCTCACCTAGGGATTGCCATTTTTTTTTCAACCGAGAATGAAGTGGATTGTCCAAACCAACCAACAAAGCCACGAGTCCTTAATTTTGTTTAGATTTTAGTGACCAGTGGGACAATGCTTTCCTGTAATCGCTCCACTAATAATAACATGTAGGTGTCAGAGTGCTTGTTCTAGAACGTGCGTTGACTTGCTGCAATGTAATCAATACGACGTGTTTTTTGTCATTTTCCGTTTTGTCCTTTTCAGGAAGGAATGCTGGAAAAACACGAGTACTTGACATGGATCCTGGATGTGCTAGAGAAAGTCAGACCCACCGATGACGACCTTCTGAAACTCTTGCTGCCGCTGACGCTGCAGGTACGGTGCTTGTCCCGCAGCCAGGATGGTCTAGGCCAGAAAGGAGTCTACTGGGAACGATTAGGGAAGGAGAGGCAAAAGAAGAGGAAGACACCCCGTGTTTGGAATGGAAGGGACACCCTCTTTGATGCTGCGGCGCCTGAGTGACGAGGCCTCCGGACTTTTCGCGGTCCTTCATGTGACGTGTCCACAGCCTTTATCCACAAACGTTTCCGAGGAATCCCACCCACGGCGGTTTTCCCCATCACCGAGCTAAGCAAAGAGCGCCTTTTAAATTCTGGTTTCCAATCTTCCTAGGGATACGGATTTTGGGGGGAAGCAAAACAAAGGCTTCTTACGCACATGTCACTATCGATCTTTTGCTTTCTTTTGCTGTTCTCTGAACCAGTAACCCAAACCAGCCCAGACTCATGGCCGCCCAGCTGATCCCCGCTGACACTGACCCCACAGGACAGGGTAGACCTGCCCCGTGGGCTTCTGAGACGGTGACTTTCAAGGGACGAGAGAGCCTCGTCTTCCTCCCATTTGAACCAATAAGAACAGGAAACACATACCTCAGGCCTTTGAATTTTTATTTTATTTAAAAAGATGTTTTTAATC